GTCCCTAACTTTCTTTGCAGGAATTGCAAGGAACATAGGAAGATGCTGCTGCTGAGAGGAAACAATAGTGAGACATGGCTCCTGAAACCATTTTCCTGCCTTTTCTGAAGCATTTAATGAAATGCAGCTGGCCTGCTATTACCATACGAAGAGGCAGGAATAAGGTGACACAATGTAAAGTCCTCATATCTTTCCATCACCTTTCTTTCACAGCTTCTCACTGCTTCTGCCCTGTTCGGCTTGTATGAACTCACCTTACCCCCCAAAAAACTCAGCTGGATGCATAAAAGTAAGTTTCTGGAAACTTACAACCCACCTAGCTGCTACCGAATGATGTTTTTAAATGTACTTAAAAATAACCAAAGCTGCGGTCACAGAAACACCTACATATATATGCTCCATCACCACTATTCCTTATGCAAGCTCAAATTTTGACAGGAGTAGTTCATAAGGAATATACTTGGCCATATCCAGAGCTTGATTAAAATACAGAACAAACAAAATACCTTGGGTAACTAGTACTTTTACATTTTCTATCACCACAATTCACATTAGAACTTGATCCCTCATATACAGTCAGGCTAAAATATTGCAAGTTTGTTTCCTTTAGACATCAGAGCATGGAGAAAAAAAAGTAAGGCCTTTCTATTTCAAGAAAGATTGTTTTTTCTCAAATAAGGGTTCTACATACAGCATTTTTTTAAAAAGATAGTCCAACCATGCCCCAAGTTATTAAATAATTTATACATCTTTTAAAAAATAATAAAGCACAATTAGATACAAGAAATATTATCAAACAAATTCCACATAACTATTCCCACTGGAATAATCCATTGCGCATTTCACAGAAATGCAATCACTGAAGCACACAATATTCTTTAATGACCAGTTCTAGCCAGATCCCTTGTGTGTTGGATATTATACTGGTACTGTGTCTCAGATCCAAGCAGAGCTGCATAGACCTCCAGCTATAAACTGTCCTTTTGTCTTTTTCCTTTTGCACTCCAAAAGAGACCTGTAGGCAGCCCAGATAACACATTTCTACTCCAGACATGAGCCAGGTTGCCAGTCAGACACCATAGAAGAGGGTTGCTGCTCAGAAAGTAGTTGCCCAAGAGATAGAGCCACTCAATCCCATGACCAAAAGCTGCTATACCCAATAGAGTTCTAGATAGAGATCAAAGCATTAATCATGAGACCCCATCAAAACAAGCCTGTGGCAGCACTGAATTCCAGTGAAATTACTCATGTTGCTCAAAATCCCATATTGCAGTGCTGGCACAGCAACATTAAAGCAACTTATCAGCACTCAGCTGTCTTTCAGTAAGGTATTGCAGCCCATTTTCAAATGCATTTTATGGTAGTTGGAGTGCAGTACTTCAGTCCTTCCCTCCTGCCCCAGTTTTGTGTGTACTAGGCAAAAAGAGGAGGATCTTTCCCTTCAGATGTTTACTAGCAACCCCCAGTGTAGTGCGTGGTTCCATACCGCATGTAGGGTTGCCTTTGGGCAGCTCCCTTAGAGAAGGCTGCACTTCCCCATCTGATGAAAGAATTGTTTGTATTACTGCTAACAAACATCATCAGTGAAACAGCAAATCATAACTAGTCTTAAATAGCAGTTGCATGATAAATAGTCTACTCAGGATGCCAACAGATACAAATCTGTATCGTGTACATCATCATCACATGAATCAGAAAGAATAGAATCCTTGAGTAAGTATCTGAAAAGGTCTACTTTGTCTCAGAAACAAACTTTTATCCTATTTTTTTAAGTTTTCACATATTTATCTACACTAAGACCTTTGTATATGCCTGTGGACACTGCACTGGAACTGCAACTGGGTGCAGATGACATTAGCACAGTACAGAAGTGAGATAAAGTGGCCTTTGTGAGAAGCAGGCTGGCACTCTAGGGAAATCAGAAAGCAGACATGAGTACACAAGCACAGGACTAACTTAAAGTTTTGTTTTATGGTAACCAGGACTTTTTGTTTGTCTCCTCTTCATAGCTAGAGCAGAACAAATATAAATCTCTGAAGAGAAATTTAAAGATAAATTACTAGATAATTAGATAATAATTTGATAAACTAGATAAAAAATAAAGAGCTTCATGCAGCAAGTGTATTAAAGCCAGCCAACAATGATTAGAAAGGGCACAGGTTTGTCTGGGTCGAGTTTAATTACCATCTGGGGCAGCTGATGGGGCTCTTTCATTTAGTTTATGTAACAGACATCCTTACTAACTCCTTTGCAATCATTGCACCTCTAATGCGAGGATAAACTCCTACTTATTAAACCAATCTCTTAGCTCTTCCATTTCAGTTATGTCAATGTCTGGAAACATCAATTTCATTTTCCCACCAAGATACTCTCCTGATATTAGTGCTAATCATTCATCGCCACATATCAAAGAGAGAGAACCAACCCTATTCACTCAGGTTCAGCTCTGGTCCTCCTGGGACCACTATATAAAAGCCATGGCTCCACTGTGCACTGGGTAATCTAGAACTTGTAATTACTGTCACTGCAAATTCAAATACATCTGTGCTCACCAAAAAAAGAAATAGATCCAATGCCTGAATTACAAAATACCCATAAATTTGTCCACACCACATTCCTAAGAAATTCATCAAATTTGAAATACCATACTTTACTTAACTAAAGCAAAATTAAAATATGCAAAGTCTCCACCATTCAATTTCTTGGCTTCCGTCTACATTGTGCATTAAAGCAATCTTAAAGAGTTCATATGGATCATTGTGAAAATCAAATGGCACACAGCCAAACCACAACATAGTGCAAAAGTAGGCCAGTCATCTGCATAGAACCTCCTGCCATTGAAATCAATGACTAAAGTGTTGTGGAATATTTTACTTGATTCTAGTTCAAAATGCAGAACAATACTGAAGTCACTGCAGAGCAAAATGGGATTTAATGCTGCAGGCAAGAAGCTGTTTGGTGGGGGTTTTTTTGTAGTCGTTGGTTTTGGTTTTTTCTAAGATAGAAATAACCTGCTATAAAGAATGTTATTTCTAAAATCCTGATGTTAATCCCCAAATTGATGCTTCTTACGCATTCAATAAAAATACAATATTTTTCAGAGGTAGTATCAAAGTACAAGGAAATTATTTCTGTAATTGTTGCTGTGCAGAATGGTTTATTTAAAGAGGTTTTTCTGCTCTTACAGCAATGGCAGAGTTTGAGAATACTAATGTCAAGTTTAATTTCCCTTTTTGACTTACACTAGATGCTATTTTTATATTCTTAATAATTTTTAGACTGTAAATATATTTTTTAAACTAAGAATGGTCAAAAAGAGATGAAGTTGTATCATGTCATTTCCATTTTCCTCATTTTAAGCTTTTCTGCATGAACTGAAAGGTATAATTGTCCTCTGCCTGCAAAGACAGCTGGTATGTAAATGCAAATGAAGGTCACCGTAATTTCCATAAGAGGCAGAACTACTGTTGCATTGGACATTGGTCCCTTCACAATAATAGTCTAAAGCATTGGTGGGAAAACACAATAAACCAAAAATTATTAATAAGCGAATCAAAAACTTGGAAGAAAATGTGAAAAAGCCTGTTTTCCAGAAAACAACTATCTAAAAAGTAATACCATGTCCTTGAAGGTTGCCACATAAAATTTATTTCCATCATATAGAATTCTAATTATTGATGAGGCAATTAAAACTTTGCTCTCTGAGTTGTTCATAAGGTGTCAAATGTTGTTAGCAAAAAAAAAAAGTGTGCTTTTACATGCTATAAATCTGAAAGTAGTGATCACCTCAAATTGTAAAACATTAGATAGAAGGTCTGAAATTAAATCTAAAGAAACAGATAGAAAGTTTAAAACATACAAAGAGAGATTCAGCTCACTTCACAGGGGGCTGGTTTCCTTTAGAGGAGCTTTTTCAGTGTTAAAAAACCTGAGTTCTAATTTTCTAGACTGAAATTGGGGTTTTCTGTCCAAGACTACTGAAGAATGAAAGAATTCTTGTGATTTGAACCTAGAAAATAATGTTAATGCTTTACTTCATAAATCATACTATTTTGTTTGATTTTCATAAAAGCACAACAAAACTCCATTTCTTGCAGAAAGCATGGGTATATATATGGTTATTGTGCTCATGCATCTAGAACAGACTTCATGCAAAACAAACCAGTTTTAGTGTTATAACAGATGCTCTTAGGGCATGCTCTCTGTATTCTCTTAGTTCTACAGTTTCCTTAAGTGAAAAATAAATTTTGTTGCTGAGTTTCCTCTGTATACATACCTGCAATGTGGCAGAAGTCTTGTCTATTTATGAATATCTTGTCTTTATATAGAAACTTCAGATGGGGGGGAAGAGAAAGAGGAAAAAAAACCTCAGAGAAAAGGAAAACATAACCAGCTTCCCTTCTCCCATTTATGCTGCCTTTTCAATACATTAACATTTTTTTCTCCTCCTCTTTCCCCCTTCTGAAGGGCAAATTGGTTCCTTTCTCTAGCACTGTCCATCTGTGCTTACTTGGCTTTTTCCTTTTTGTACTAAGCAAATCCTCATCACTGCCTCCGTCTAACACCAGGTGCAGCTCTCAAATATTTACAGAACATCAGAACAGCACCTAGCACAAGAAAAGCCCAAGCAGGATCCTGGTTACAGAAAACTCCACATCTGAAAGACCTATTTATGCAGAGAGCTGGTCTGCCTACAACAGTGCAGCTCTTAGCATTTTTTAACAAGAATAATTTAAGACATCCAGCCTTTTCCTACAGGATGTAGACAAAGGAGAAAAGCAGAATGAAAAACTTCAAAGAGTTATACACTTCCTTTACTGGCAGTGCTGCCAGGCTGATGAAATGTGACTGTGTTTGCAAGATCAGGCCTTGGATTTTAAACCTGTCAGCACAAGTAAAGGTAATAGTACATGCAAAACACTGAATTAAAGTATTCTAAAAATATTTTCAAAGACTCTCTGGGAAATAAACTCCAACAACTTTTAATACATGTCACTCACCTGAAAAGACATTGGGAAATGTCTCTGTAGAAGCCTGCACCCCTGAGGACTTTCTTGAATGAGTCAAAGGCACTCTTTCTGTTTGAAATTTCTCTCTAAACCCCTTGTGCTCCAAGTAGTCTGCAGAGCTCACCTTCTCTGTTATATCGCCTTTCTGATTAGACACTTCTTCTGTCCAGTCTGCAGAACGACTGAAAAAACCTCCCAAACTAGCAGACCTCTGCTTCTTGATTGAGACCTTTTCTTTTTTGTGGAAGGACTCCTGCCTCCTTGTAATAAGTGGGCTCTGGGATGGGGAGGGAGAAGGTGAATGGTTGGGAGAACTCAGTTGCCTAGTTGTGGTTTTGATGTAACAGGGATTAATTAGATAAGGCTTAAAACATCGGGAACCAAGCGTTGGACTGTCTGCTGTTCCTTCAGAGGATAAAATGCCATCTTTCATTTCTGTGGATAAACCATTACGCAGGTCCTCTTGACTGGCTGACAGAGTGTGTTTCCCTTCCTGAGTCTCAGCAGCATGATCATGGCCTGCATCTGAAATACCATCCTCTGTTACTGAGCCCTGAAAATCAACAGCCTGCACTTCAGCAGTTTTTGCTTCAGCATCTGCTATCAAGGCTGGGGAAGGCTGTGTGGAGCTGTGTGCCTTAGACCCGTTTTCTACTGCAATTCTATTTAAATCATCTTCTAGTTCACCAGCTACAGCATCCACTCCAGCAATGAGCTGTTCCTCACTCAGTAGCTTACGTTCTTGAGTTTCAAATAAGCTGTTACCAGGAGAGCCTGTGCCATTTACCACTTCTTTCAGTTCACGTTCAGTTGCACAGGAGACGGGAATGTTTTCCGCAATTTCAGATACCGCTGGCAAAGCACCCTCAGTGTCTGGGCTCCTCTCTTTGTCAGTGGTAGTTACTGAAAAAAAATGTTCAAAATCTAAGGGGGTTGCTTGCGAATTAGCCGTGTGTCGGCCCATTGTTTTGGTGACAAGGTCCTCAGTTCCAATGTTAATTGCCCCCTGCTGCTGCTGCTGCAGTCTAATAGCTTGCTGGATATCAGAAAGCAAATCCTCTTGTTCTGCAGCTGAATGGAAACTGTATATATCCGTATCAGAGCCAGAGCTGGTCCTTTGTCCATCCTGCGTCTCTGCAGCAGCTGGAACAGTTTCATTTCTGATTTCAAAATGTTCAACATCTGTGTCTGAGAGACCCCCTTCATCCGCAGAGATGCTTATATCTGGAGTTTTGGTTACAATCGAATGAGTACTGTCCAGCTCTCCAGGCTGCAAGGCCTGGCTTTCCAAAACATCCTCCCGTGAACTACTATTCCCATCTTTAGCCTTGGAGAGATTTTTCCTGATCCTCAGATTTGAAAACACAGAGGGCCTGGAGTCCGACTTACCCTTCTTCTTGCCAGATTCACTTCCTTTTGCATGCTTCCCCAGTCCTTTTCTGCCTCCCGATGCCTTCTTTGTGCCATCCGTATCCTTGGGCCCAGAGGCATCTTCTCCTTCATGCACATCGCCTGTATATTTCTTTAGCTTCCCATCTTGATTCCCCATGATTTTTCGCAGTGCAACACCTTCAGCAATCAAGCCATCCTCCCGGATTTCATTCCTTTGGCCTGCCGGCGAGATCCCCTCTAGCGATCCAGGTTTGTTTTCAAGCGGTGGTGATGCAAGTGAATCAAATGCTTGCTGTGCCTCTCTCCCATCTGCTAGAGCTGCCTTTTTGCATAATGTGCTGCTTGCACTGGGCTCCGCTGGGACATGCTCAGTACAGCACTGAGAGCTGCAGACAGCTCCTTCCAATGGCTGCTTCTCTCCGAGCTGCCTGCTCGCCACGCTCCTGCTGCACTCTTCTTTCTCTGAGAAGGATTTTGTGAAAAGTATTTCCTTTATAAAAGTCACTTCTTTTTCCACGGTTTTTATTGCCTGCATTGCAAACTCAGCTTGTCACCAAATCATTTACAGTTTCAGGACTTTAACGTTCAAGTTCCTGAAGGCAAAAAGAGAAAAAAAAAGTTAAAGCAAGGTACTTTAATTACCTAATTATTGCTACAATTACCTAATTGTAGCAACTGCTACAATTCTTTAAATGAATAAACTGACAGCCTTGAAAATATTATGATTATTTAATAGTTTATAAGGTGCCTAAGCAAATGCTACTTTGACAGATTACACAGTACCTCTGCTGATTTATATGTTTACTTTTTAAAGGCCACTAAAACATGATACATATTTATAAAAGAAGAGTCACTCTGAAAGTAGGTAAAAGATAATAAACAGAAAGTTCTTTCCACAGTTCTAAAGAATTGCACTTAAAACTCAGTGTATTATGGTGATTATGCTGTAAAGAGCCTCCTGCAATTTGTATTCTGAGAAGGTAGATATACTATTATTCCCAGGAGAATCAACTCATCAATATTAAAACACATCACCATTGTTTCCCCTGATAAGGACATCTGGCATGAAACAAGATAAACAAACAAGAAAAATAGCAGTATTCAAAGGCAACTAAGGAAAAAGATACAGCAAAGTATTCCTCTATTTCACCCTATATATTTAATAATTGATTTAGGCACTGTCACTTGCTAACTACTTTGGAAACTTGTGCAACAGTTTTAATCAGTTGCTGCTTCTCCTCTGTTTTTAGTTAGGTTGTATAGGGATTAATACTTAATATTTCCTGAACTTCCAGACAGGTATTTCCTTTAACTTTTAAAATTTAGAATTAAAATAACTGGAATAGAAACAAAAGAGCATAAGAATGTCCTTATTCTCCAAATTGCCAAGTTGGATCAGCTCAACAGTTCAATACCTTGGTTCAACACCAACAAAGAAACAATCAGATAGATTTTCTGTTTATGATTTAGCATCTCTAAACTGCCTGGTCTACTAGATTCAGTTTCTGTGGAAGAATAGACATATTCCTCACATCTCTGAGCTTCCTTACTTGCAATTTCCCTTTTATCAGAGATTGCTTAAAACAATACATCATTCCAGAGAAATACATTGTACTGGTTTCCTAACTCTTTCTTTGGTTTCATTCCTACCAGGGATTTCACTTCTTTCTGCTGCCTAGAGGACTAATACAAAGATACTACAGACTGAATGTTTAAGGGGAAATGTAGGATTAGTGCGATGTTCTGAAACCCTCCCTTTCCTTCCTTCTCTAAAAAACTTGCCTTGAAGACTCTATACACTTCCATTACAACTAATGTTAATTCACCAGCAGTAATTCCACTGCAAATTATGTTGCAAAAGCAAGGCTTTGACAAAACTGGGGTTATAAGACAGTCAAGTCAAAGCCCAACCTCCATTTTTTAATTGGAAACTAGAAACTTATAATGCTTTTAATCATGTAGCTGCACTTTTTCCTAGAAGCTTTCATGCAGCACATGCTAGTAAGTTGGGTCTTCAAAAAAACCCACATAATGTGTAGCCACAGATATTATCCAAGTTTAAGTATGAGACAGTAAAAATAATTATTTTTTTTTCAATCTGCAGCTTTAATCCTAAAAGCAAAGGAATTATAAGATAAAAGGCCAAATGATTTTCTAGATAGTGCCTATGAATATGGTATCCTAAACATCATGGATTCTAATCTGTATGAGAAAAGAGCATCACCAAAATTTACATACTTATGTGAACAGAGGTATGCATGTGAACATCACAGATTTTGCTCTGGTTATTCCACATAAGACACAGAGAAATGTTCAAATTAGAAAAAAAAACAAAAAACAAATTGCCCCACAGTGGCAGTGATAGATACAACTCTCAATCAGAATTTGTGGGAAACTACAAAAGGTTAACATTATCCAAACATAAAACCAAATGTTAACACTTTGGATTTTATTTATTCTCAGGAGTCTTTTAACTTCTGAAGGAAAACATATTATTAAAAGTCAGCAAGAAACCAGAACATTTTGGCATCTATATAAGCCACATTTTGAAAGCTAAGGATTTATTCAATATTCTACACCAAGAGACTTTCAACAGATAGTAAATGGGGAAAAGAGAGGGGGTTAGGTGTTCAAAAAGAATACTTCAATTTTAAGAGTAACTGTAGCTCATTCTTAACATGCTATAATTTTCAACAAATTGCTGAGGCTAGTCAGTGAGCCTATTTGCCTCATTTAATATTTGCCAAGGGTCAGTCAAAAATACCAGGGCATAAGATTACAGGCATAGTTCTGAGCTCCTCAGCTCCCATTCCCCTCCAAAGCTCAGGAGATGCAAATTGCAACATGCAGAGGAGAGTCAAAACTTACAGCTCAAGATGCATTGTCCTTGCACTCCCAGAGACACTGATAGGAGGACATTCCTGGTAGAAAAGCCAGCCCCTCTTATGGGATTGTGATTATATTCAAGACAGTTACCATTTACTGCAGCCTCTCAGCAAAGAGCCTCCAGCACCACCTCTCTGCCTGCCTGCCCACCTGCCCTGCTGGGAGGGGAAGGGCTCTCAGCAGCACTCATTGCCCACACCTGGATGCAGGACTCAACCTCCTGGAGCACAGGCAAGGCAAAGTACTGCCCACTGGTCAGGGCTGGGACAATGGTGGGAGTGTTCCCCCCCAGGTTCCTCACAAAAAGGGCTGAGTGTCCAATTGACATTCTGATTGTCTGCTGAGGCTGGGATAGCAGCAGTGTGAGAACCTCAGCATTGTATTACAGAGTCCAGATGCCATGGCAGTGCTCTGGGAGCTGAGCTTTGCTCCCCCAGTACTGTGACTTCTCCAACCTCTGTTCATATTACTCTATGAGGAGACAAGCTGCTGCTTGCAGGAAAGTAAGGACATCACAGAGGATCCTCACCTCTACGATACACACCCTGCAGAGATCAGTTTTAATTAGTGGCTCAATGTGCATGGGTTGGCTTGGAGATAAAGGGACACAGAGTAACAGGATGGTTTTAAAGTACTCTGGTGTTATATTACTGATTGGGATATGGTAATGCAGCTGATATGAAAAAAAAGGGCTTATTTAAGCAGATCAAGGTGTTTCCAACCATCTATGTTACTAAAGCTTGAATTTTCAGACTTGTTCTCATTCAGTCCTCTGCTGAAGCCAGGTCCCTATTCCT